GCCCCTCTCTCTCTCTCTCTCTGTGTGTGTGTGTGTGTGTGTGTGTGTGTGTGTGTGTGTTGGGGAAGAGGGCTGACTAGAGAAAAAAACATGGCAGAAAGGCAATATAAGCAGAATATAGTGTTTTGCATTTTAAAACTAATAACTAAAAGAAGTCTAATAAAAATGTAGCATTTAATACTGTGACTCAAAGGGAAAAGAATCAATTGCAGTCTGGGATTTATTTTATTTTGTAGAACCAGGTTTGTAATATTTGAAGTGATGGAAAAATACATAGAGATAATTTTCTGGAAAAAATATTCTTAAAATGATGGCTAAGAAGCATTCACAGTGAGCAGAATGAGTGGGAGGTGACTGTAGTTATCTTTGACACTGAGATGACTTGGCTGCTTATGCACCAAAAACACCCTAAAAAACCAAAATACGGAAACTTATTAAAATGGCAGTCTCACTTGGGATTGCTTCATAGTACAAATTCAGGGGGAGTCATTCATATGGACGACACTGTAACAATTCTAGTTTCTCCTATACAGTGGTTTCCTGGGGAGTACTAGGGCAAGGCCTATGACGATTTGCTTGTTTAAAAACCAGGAAAAAAATCAAGAAATATAATAAATGCTATTTGGATTTATGGTCCTGAGATCTTTGTCCTAGATAGGCTGAGTTAGTATATGCCTTTATAATTTCTTAAAAGCAAAAAACCTTTGCAGAGATATTTTTTATTTACATGCTATATTTTGCTTAAAAAAGAATGGTACCATTACTTCGTTGTTGAGTCTCTAAAGAGATGGACCTCTAGAGATCTGTGTCACTCAGATACAGACATGAAATGCTAAGAGTTTCCTTTCACTTTTCTAGAGGTCAATTGTACAGCAACGTCATCTATCATAGACATAATGGATCATCTTGAAACTGACAGATAAGATCTTTGAATGGCTAAAACAGACAGCACATAGTGCAGTCAGTGAAGCACAGACTTGGGGACTCAATCAGAGGTTTTAAGCTCCTGCTTTTGATAGAATTTTAACAAGTTAGATTATTTGATTTGTCAGTGAAACACTAAGGAAGGAAGGAAACGGCTATGTTCCTAGATATTAGCGGTTTCAGAATGTGACAACTGAAAGCAAGGGATGCTATATAAAAACTCAAACGACAGACAGGATTGGGAAGAAGCCTGTCAGTGTGGGGTCATTTAATGGTGGGGCAAATAACTTTCCAGACCATAATCGGCCCCGAGGGCATCAGCTATTCGTTGTCTTGCAGTCATTAATGTTCACAAAGATGGCCCTAGCTTTCAAGAAGCAATTCTAATATGCATAAAGTATTCACTGCTAGCAATTCTTTAATGTTCACTGCATACCAAATGCCTCATATGTAACCTCATTTAATTTGCACAGCAACCCTATGAGGTGATTACTGTTATCTTCATTTTATAGATGAGAAAGTTGAGACTCAGAAAGATTGTTATTTGCCCAGAGACAGAAAGCTGGTAGACGATAAAACAGGAATTCGAACAGAGCAGGCTGACTCTAGAACTCATACTTCCAACACTTTCAGAAATATTTTCATAAAGACTAGATTTAAGTGAAACAAAACAAAAATGTTTGATTAGTCACTTAGCTTTAGGCATCTGGAAATTCACATAAATAGAATAACTCATCATATATATTCATATATATATATACATGTGTGTCTATCTATGTATCATTTTTAAAACAAAAATGTTTGATAGTCACTTAGCTATAGGCATCTGGAAAATTCACATAAATGGGAGAATTCATTCATACATATTCATATATAAACATACATACGTGTGTCTATGTATAATTTACACACATACATAAATCTCCATTTGTGGTAGAATTTTGATATATTTCTGTTGACGTCCCTGTATAGATAAACTGTGGCACTATCAGACATTATACAAGTATTAACCAGGGAGGAGCTTAAGGAAATAGTTTCTGCCCAGTCATGAGTTGGCAATTTATCGGTGCTGTGTAATTTAATTTGATGAGTGGTAAATGCCAGATGCCAGATCACATGACTGGAAAACTGGGCCACTGATTAGCCGGTCGGCAGTTTGGATGAAATCAGTCTCGCCGCATTTAGGTGGAATCACCCATTTTGCAATTACCCAATGAGGAAAATATGAAAACATGGAGTGTGTGTTGGCAAGCTCCCTCACCCATGCAAAGTAAAGAGCCCTGCCGTGGAGAAGCACGTGATTGTCAAAGCCACAATCTCACAATAATGCAGCCTTTGGCGACGCTTCCAGCCACAGTGAGGAACCACACTTCAATGACTGTGTTTAAGAGAGATGTCGGGGCTGAAACAACCTCTTGGAAACCCAGGTTGCTCTGGTTCCCATGTGTGCCAGGGCTGGTCTTGCCTGCTCTAGGGTCGCAAATACAATGTTTCTAAAAACTCAAGTGATGACTGGACTGGGCCTATAAATCCAAGCAGAAAAAGTGGCTTCATTTCTAAGCTATTTAGACCCACGTGAATGTGTTTTGTGATTTCTTTCCACTAGCAAAATAAAATGCAAACTTCTAAGCCCTACGTGGAGAGTCCTCCATCACCAGAATCCCATTTCCACAAAAACCTCAAGTCCTGCCCCTCTCTTAACTTGCCACGTGTCCTATCAAGTGCTTCAAACGCATCTTTCTTTGTTGTGCTTCTGTGGCTCTGAACAAGCCATTCTGCTGGGTGATGTTGCATCACCCCCCTCTTTACTGACAAGTAAATTGCTCATCCTTCAAGACCCAGTACAAATGTCACTTGCTCCGAGGTCTTCTTGCTCCGCCAGGCAGGGTCAGTGCCTTTTCAGCATGTTATTTATATCTATTATGTTACTTGCTATTTTGCACTGTCATGCTGTCCCCGCCTGTCGCCCTTCCTAGACAGCAAACTTCTAAGAGCAGGGACTGTGATTCACTGATCTTTGTATCCAAGGCTGAAAACAGTCCTTAGTCCACGTTAAAGTGTGAAATAAATACTAATTGAACTGAAAAAGATGATATTGTACGCACAGTTGATGAAATGAGGGCCTTCACATGGAAACATCTGTAGGCAAAGTGTTATTCAGAGCTTCCTGGAGAGCGGAGCAGAAGCTCGAATGGAAGAGCTGTTGCATAAGGCTCTCCATCATGACGAATCTGGGGCTGTCCTCTGGTCTCTGACTGGGAATGGCTTTAAGTGGATGACTTGTGTCATGTATTAACTTGAACCACACAAACTTGTTTATTTTGTCGACAAAAATGGTAAAAAGTTGCTGGTTTTATGTGATTCAGCCTAATTGTTTGTATCATGATTATTAACTGTAAAAATTCACACAAAGAAGTCCCTTTGTTGTGAGAAGGAAATTAAAGATGAAAAGAAACACGGAGGCAGACAAGTAGGCTGAGTATTTCCTCAAAATGACAGGTGACAATAAGCAAAATTTCAGACAATGTCCACTGTTCCTTCCACACCTATGCTGAAGCGAATAGTATGTTCTTGGACTATGAGACATTTACTCACAGAGAACAGTCTCACTGGTTTGGCCTATACATAGAGTGGCTATATTTTAGGTTGATTTGTTCTAGTTGGTCATCCAGCCCATAATTTGGTAACTTAAAACCTGACCTTTCAGGCCGGGCTCGGTGGCTCAGCCTGTAATCCCGCGCCTTTGGGAGGCTGAGGTGAGTGGATTGCCTGAGCCCGTGGGTTCGAGACCCGCCTGGGCAGGCGAGACCTCATCGCTACAATAAATCAAAAAATCAGCTGGGCGTGGTAGCGCGCGCCTGTAATTCCGGCTACTCGGAAGGCTGAGGCGGAAGGATCGCCGGAGCCCAGCAGGTCGAGGCTGCGGT